CCCTAAACTGAGAAATCTTGCCGTTCTATTTTATGATGCTCAAAGGTTGTTTGGGTCTCCTGAAAATTTTCCTCACATCTCTTCCATGCTCATTCTTTCCTAGACCCTTCCATTCTCTCCATCTCTATCTTCAATCCTGTGAAGTAATGGAAACCCTTCCTTCCTGCTTTCTCTATCCCCAGAAAAAAGAAGCTCCATCATTCTTCAAACAAGAACTCACTCTCATATTCTCTCTCTAAACTCCCGAAGCAAAAACAATATTTCTCTCGAATCAAACCTCAATGAATATCACCGTCTCTATATCTATGCAGGGGTCTCTCTCTTTATCTTATTCCATGTAACTGATTGACTTCACATCTCTCACCCTAAAGCTAAACTTTGATGGCTGCTTGTTGGGCAACCTGGAGCCCATGGGGACTGGACCATGAGGGCTCCACCCTCTTTTCCTTTTCCAGAGCCATTGGGGAGACTGCTGAGACCTTAGCCCTCCTAAACGGAGTCAGGAACCTTGACCCCAGTTGGGGCACTTCGTAGCTTGTAGAGGGAGACTCCTTGAACGTTATATCATGGGCCTCTGGCCATGTCCCAAGCCCTTGGAGATTGGGCCATCTTTTTGACATGATCGAGCATAGATGCGGGGGCTACAGAGTCTCATGGAAACACTTTGGCGCGAGGCAAACACTGCTGCAGATGCTGTAGCCAGAGAAGGTGCTAATCCCAGTTAGAGATTATCCCCTCACCTTAGACCCTTACCTGCCATTTTTTGAGCGAATGAATGTTGTAATGCTTTGTTTTCCTGTTCTTACCGTATAGTGCCCATTCAATTTGGACCTCTGCTCCATCAGGGGGTAATTTTTTGTATACGCATACCTTTTGATACAAGTTAACATTGGGAAAAAAAAGAAAAGAAAAGAGAACAGAGGAGCATAGCACAGAAGATTTAGATTTGAAGAGAGAGCGAGGTGATTCCATTTCCAAGTGTTTTGAGTGGGAGGATGGAGAGAGAGAGAGGTGGTTCCAATTCCCACAGTTTCTAGTGGGAAGATGGGGCAGTGAGTTGATTTTGATGAGAGAGAGAGAGTGCTCCAGCGTTTCTATTGCCATCTTTTGAAAAGGAGGAGCATATCATAGCTCTGTGAGAGAGCAAGATCTCCTATGACTCTTTTTATTGCTCTCTCTTTCCCATCTTTTTCAATCCCAAAGAGTAGGTCTCTTTCTCTCTCTAGAGTTTAGTGGGAGAAACAAGGGCTTTTAGGTGCTTTCTGATATTCAAAACTGCTTCTTAGACTTCCTACTTTGTTGGGGCAATCTGATGACCAGAGATTTGTGGGAGGATATGGTTTATCTCCAGATGTGAATTGTCTCCTGATGTGAACTATGGGGATTGTTTTTATGGAGGAGAGAAATATGGATTTCTGGCTGGTGTGCTTTCTGGGCCACTAGAGCAATATCCATTGCTTGCAGAAATACACAGCGTGAGACTGCCATTAACAAGCAGCAGAGTATGTTTCCCTTGTATTCCATTATTGTTCTAATGGTTCTTTCTCTACCTCTGTTTCTGGTTTTGAGCAGATTATGGAGATAAACGGTCACAACACCATTAGAAAGGAGAGAAGCGCAGGGCACAAGAAACGTTCGGGTGTGTGGTTGGTTGGGTGTTTTAGGGGGGAGGTGGTGGGGGTTGGGGGCTGTGCTTCTTGAGAGATAAGGGTGAGCGTGAGAAGACGAAGAGATAAGGGTGGGTGTGAGAAGACGAACAGATAAGCAGAGATAACTTCAAGCCAGATACTAGCAAGCTAAAAAAATTCAACTCCGAGTGGAATTCTTTTGGACAATGATTTTGGTACGAAACTGATAGCTTTCTAAATTTGCATCCAAAAAATCTAGCGAAATCCAAATGGGCTCAAACCCACCTCAACATATTTTATTTGCTTGTCATCCAAAAAACGACAGAATTTGGGCACATCCAAACTGGCACTTCTGAGTTCACTATATCCATGCCATTGAAACTTTGAAGACCTCCTCCACCTGATTCCCCCGACAAAAAGAGAAACTAGGTGCAGTTAGGCCTGCTGTGTGAGGTTCAAACCTGGTTATTGCTTCTCCAAATTCTCTCTTTCAATAACGATTTCTCATGCATAAAATGATAAAAGTCTAACAGGTTGTTTGTTCTCTGCAAGATCCATGTTCAGTGAATGGGATAGCAGGGTTCAACCAATCAGAACACAAGACTCAATGTGTGCTTGTACATAACAAACACGTGCACATAGCTTGTTCCCATGGCACTCCTGATCAGAAAACTACTGCAAAATGGTCTCTGCTCTCACTCAATGCAACTAATGGCTAAATGCAGGAAAACCACATCAAGAGACATGAGATGCCCATAGTTTTCATGGTCGCGACCACATGCCCATCTATTGTCAATGCTACATAGACACAGAAATATAATGAGAAACCTAACACATATTTTGCGCCAATAATGCATCAGCTTCATCTTTCAAGGTTGTTGCCCTGCCCTCGAAGCTTGCTTGTCCACATTTAGGTACTCTTAACTTCCATTTATGAGGCGTAAATTAATCCACAGTGAAAGTTATCAACAATCGAGCCACAAAGCATATGTCAAGCATTTCAATTTGACTCTATGAATTCTGCTACTTCTATTTCTATAGCAAACATTATGGAAAGTGAACTTGACAATTGTCCTTCAATGGAAGTATGAATGAGACAATGCAAACTTATGAATTGTCCCTTATTATTGCACAATAGAAGCTTGATATTCCTCCAATATCTCATAATTACTCCATCACTTCCTAATCCTATCCAACTTTTTGCATCTCCCAAGCCTTGATGATGGAGCAGCTATCAGTGAAGAGCAAGAGACAGGTGGTCTATACCACCTAAATGAAGTTACCAATGTTGGAGAAGTTGCTAGGCAGAGCCTAGGGGCTGAGGTGTCTAGGCCACTAGGCAGGCGCTAGAGACATGGGCATGAAAATGTCAAATTCTTTTTTTCAAGGTTCATTTAAATACCCTGGATATGAGTTACAACAGGGTTAAAAAAAAAACAAAAAAAGAAAAAAAAAACAAAACAAAAAAAAAACATGCATCATCCAATGATCCAATGTTTTATAAAATGATAAAAGTATTAAAGTTTCAAAATCAGAACAAAAAGCATCCAATGTTTCAACTTTTTATTTTTTGAAACTGTTAACTGATCCAATGTTTCAACTTTCAAACAAGCATGATGAACTCATAATTCATAAAGGAAACTGAGTTTCATCAATCATCATCGCTAGCTATATCACAGCCCCTTCCACCATCAGATGCCTAGGCGCCTGCCTGGTAGCATATTCCCCCACACCCGCCCGCCTACATTTGGGTGATGCGCCCAGGGCCTTTTGCTGCCTAGGCAGGCAGCCTAGGTGCTCGGGCAGGCAAATTCTCCAACATTGGTTCAAACTTCAAAACAATTAACTTCAGAAGTGTTTGCAAATAAGGAAACCATGTGTCAACCTAGGAACCAGTCATAATTGTCTTAGCAAACCGTCTAACCAAGCATTATGATATCTGTGTGTCCTTTGATTTTTTTTAAACCCCTTATCATAATTGTAACTAGGTTGGCAATTGGCATCCAACGTAGGTTGTCCCCATAAGATGGAACAAAATATCATTCCATCAGAACCAAAAAATTTAACTAAGGATGGAGAACATCTAGATCATATAGACATATTGAATCTGTCATGAGTGGTTTCACTGCAGCTAGTATTGAGCGCTTCATCTTGATGAATAAGATATACTTAGGGGACTCATTCTTATTGAGTAGATCTACAACAACCCAGTGTAACATTGAGAAGAAAAAACTATCACCACAATAGAAATGGTCAGGCCGCGAAGAGATATCTACATTGAACAAAGGACATTTTTATTTTTCTTTCCCCTTTTAACTTTTGAACAAAGGTGAGTTACATTGGATAAAGACAACACTGATTTACTAACAAATAGTAACAAAATCTTGTAAAACTCCAATTTTCCCAAAGCACAACCCAGGTCCTAGTACTAAAGAGCTACATGAAGAAATGCAGACTAATAGAATTTAGTCTAAAGTGCATATAACCCATAATTACCACTTACCCAAAAAAAAAACCCACAATTACCAAGCCCAACTATAAGCAACCACATGCACAGCCTCAGAATTGCAACTCAACACAGTCCACAGGACTCTAAAATAAATTAGAGAGGCACAATACATGCTCAAAGTAGGTCCTTGCATGTTGGGGCAAACTTTGAATATTGGGTCCAATGTATGTCATCAGGGATCTAGTGTAGGATGCTATACATGCATCAGAGAAAAGCTCACAACATGGAAAAGCAAAAAATTAATTTGTTGCTTGACCAACTACAAAGCAGAATAACTGACCAAAAAAGGCTCGATATAAGCATATAGATCACTTGGACACTCACATTTTGAAAGTCATAGGACTTGATGCCACTTTATCCACACAAATTTACTACAACAATCAGGCAACAAATCACGTTAACAACCTGCAACTCATCAATTCTTTAAATAACACTTGTTGACACTTAATACAAAAGTAGTCACAGAAACAATCGCTGGGAACCTTGCAAGTGAAAAGCATTGTTGCTAACAAAGTAGCTATAACAACCAGCTGAATGGGTGGATTAAGGTAAGCCAGGAATCACAAATACCATACAACAGGGGATATCTATGTTCTTAGTATATAAGATGTACCTGCATTCAACTAATCCGAAATGTAATAAGCCCTTCTATTTTTATTTTTTTGTAGACTGTTAACGTTTATATTGAGTATAAAGCATATAAAGTCTCGACAATTGAAACCATACAAATTTGAGAGTAAAATCATGGAAATAGAGACCAACTACTCGTAAAGAAAATGCCTCTTGAAATGAAATTACGAACTAAAAATAAAAAGAATATCATCATCATCATCGTCCGAGCCTTTTCCGAACTATATGGGGTCAGCTAGATGAGTCCTAGTCCCACTCTGCTCTATCAAAAACTAAAAGTAAAAAAATAAAAACTAAGATGCACAGATAAAGCAAGAGATACATGGAAGAGAGTGAGGATATTATTCAGCCTTTTTCAAAATCTAGGATATGGTCACAAGCATGAGTATCCTATCTGACTCAATGACGGATAAAGATAGTGCATGTGAATTCCAAATAAAAAAATACATTTGTTTTATGGCTTGTGATCATCTGCAATCACAATATAGGCTTATGCCACTTCTCAAACAAGACAGATGCTTGGAAAAAACATAAAACAACTAGGAGCCAACATCAATCCTTTTATTTAAGAACAGCCATCATTAACATCGTAGCGATCCTCATAATCTTCCTTAAGCTATTGGCTATTCCAAAAGAACCAGAACATTCTAGTTTTCCTAAACCTATTTCTGACTTCAAAACAAATACTCTGCTTATAAAAAAACTGAGGCTGATTGCATGAGAAGGAACGAAAAACAAAGATCCCAAAAACATTAGATATGCAACATAATATACGGCATTGAACTATCAACTCCAAAAGCCATAGGACTTGATGCCACTTTATCCACACAAATTTACTACAACAATCAGGCAACAAATCACGTTAACAACCTGCAACTCATCAATTCTTTAAATAACACTTGTTGACACTTAATACAAAAGTAGTCACAGAAACAATCGCTGGGAACCTTGCAAGTGAAAAGCATTGTTGCTAACAAAGTAGCTATAACAACCAGCTGAATGGGTGATTAAGGTAAGCCAGGAATCACAAATACCATACAACAGGGGATATCTATGTTCTTAGTATATAAGATGTACCTGCATTCAACTAATCCGAAATGTAATAAGCCCTTCTATTTTTATTTTTTTGTAGACTGTTAACGTTTATATTGAGTATAAAGCATATAAAGTCTCGACAATTGAAACCATACAAATTTGAGAGTAAAATCATGGAAATAGAGACCAACTACTCGTAAAGAAAATGTCTCTTGAAATGAAATTTACGAACTAAAAATAAAAAGAATATCATCATCATCATCGTCTGAGCCTTTTCCGAACTATATGGGATCAGCTAGATGAGTCCTAGTCCCACTCTGCTCTATCAAAAACTAAAAGTAAAAAAATAAAAACTAAGATGCACAGATAAAGCAAGAGATACATGGAAGAGAGTGAGGATATTATTCAGCCTTTTTCAAAATCTAGGATATGGTCACAAGCATGAGTATCCAATCTGACTCAATGACGGATAAAGATAGTGCATGTGAATTCCAAATAAAAAAATACATTTGTTTTATGGCTTGTGATCATCTGCAATCACAATATAGGCTTATGCCACTTCTCAAACAAGACAGATGCTTGGAAAACACATAAAACAACTAGGAGCCAACATCAATCCTTTTATTTAAGAACAACCATCATTAACATCGTAGCGATCCTCATAATCTTCCTTAAGCTATTTGCTATTCCAAAAGAACCAGAACATTCTAGTTTTCCTAAACCTATTTCTGACTTCAAAACAAATACTCTGCTTATAAAAAAACTGAGGCTGATTGCATGAGAAGGAAAACAAAGATCCCAAAAACATTAGATATGCAACATAATATACGGCATTGAACTATCAACTTCAAAAGCCAATATTCAAACCCAAATTTAACAGATTCACAATATTGAAAACAAGATTCCTATACTGGAGTAAAATATGTCATACAAGGCAGAAATAGAGCAACTGAAAGAGAGGAGGTGGGAATTATTTGGGGTTTGGCATGGGGTTGATTTTGTAACTTGTAGAACACGTACATCAAACGTAGTCCAATAATTCTTACTACATTAGACACAGTCCTTAGCTATTGAGAGCTAACTTTCACATTAATAGAAATAAGGCACTAAATGACTCATGACTGTCTAGGCCCTATATTCTTCAAAGCGTGAACTGAAAGAGAAGCATGGTAATATCCAAATGGAAGAAATGTATCCGTATATCTGTGATGCAAACACTTGTATTCACTCCCTTGGCACAGTTTGCATACGTACTTGTCATAGTAATGCTCCGTAAAGTGATTGACTACAAGCCTGATATAAAAAAATTAGAAGAAATTGATGGTCAAATAGATCAAGATTGTTTCCAAAAGTAGGTAAACAGGATGTGTGCCTACACAACCAGACACGGGCATATAGTTGTGCGACTGAATTAAAGTGTGTGCACACTAATTTCAACTTCAAAACCTTCTTAATTTCACAGAAACCCTGGCCATAATCATGAAAAGAAACTAATGGCACTCAAATCCTACCACATAAGTTCAGAACACAGATAAATAGTAAAATCATTACAAAGAATGGTGGAAAAATCATGCCAAAATAACTTACTCTCTTGAGAATATTAACTCTTTCTTCCAATCCATCCACTGCTCTATCATTATCAAGCTCAGCTATTTCATGAGAGGAGTAAGATGAGGCAGCCCTTATTCCTCCTTCTTCAATTCCATCAAATAAAGCATTCCTAGTGCTCCGGTAGTCCCTAAACATAACACAAACATTTTTATTACTTGGGTAACATTCAATTGCAATTAAATTATTCGAACTTCAATCTGGTAGAAGTTGCACAAGTGCAAACGCTCTAAGAATAGACAAACCCATTTCGACTAGCAAGAACCATGATGACAGCGGCAGAAGCACAGTCTATAATCAAGGATTACATTCCATACTAATCATGTCAGCCAGAACGGCAAAAGTATTTACCATTACATAAACAACTCCAAGATTCTCCATAACAGAATGGAGACTGCATACTAGGCACATGGGTCTCAGAGATAGAATATGACAAACTCATAAATGGACGTTCTGTAACTTCAGATTGATGTGGACAGTTAATAACTCTTCTTACAATTCCTAATGCTTGTATTCACTTAGACCAAAGGTGCTCCAATTGTATTCAAGATGGAAGGGCGTAGGGGCTTATATCAAGATGCTGAATACAATGACAACTTAAGGGAAATAGCATTTAAGAATCTAAAAAGGGATATATTTAAGGAAAAAGTTTATATAAGGTTGCAACCTTAAAATGTAGAACTAAAGATGCACCTCAAAAATCCATCGGACAAGGTTGTTTTAATGTTGAAAAACCCTGGAATTGATCATCTCGACATTGAGATGAATGGATATGAAAAAAAAACAAAGATTTTGAGTCCCAGAAATAGTACATCTTGCAACATATTATCTAGACCGTCCATTTTCAAGATTTTTATATGTTTACAGATCTACTTATTTTAACTATTTTTGGTGTTTAAAATTTTATAATTAGAGATGAAAATAAATTCTAAGATAATTCTAAGAATATTTTACACCAAAATTACATGTTATGATAAAATTTGGAGGTGCGCCTTAATTGGATTATTTAAGGTTGCAACCTTATAAACACCTTATATTTAATGGATATCACAAGGACCTTCTGCTACGTGACCAAATGTAGGCCAAGGTACAAAAATGCAGTGTGTAATTTACACTTTACAAAATACACCTTAGTGCATAGGAGTTAAAAATAATATGAGAAACAAAAACTAAAACAACATAAATTTGAGACAAAACGAAAGCAAAAAGGGAAGGAATGCAACTCAGTGAGATATCCAATGCAAAACAAGGAGGAAATCCACAAAGGAAGTTTACATACTAGCGCCATGCCGGATCTCTACACAATAGGTGATTGAATATATAATATACGGTGAAAATAAGAAACTAACCATTAAAAGTAGAGCATGGAGAGCCATTATTAATATTTTCCCAAATTCCTACCTCATTTAAGACTCAATAATCTATATTATGGCAGATACAGCCTTATTGATATCATCTTAAAGATAAATTTATCGTCTCCAACTCTCCATCCACAGTTTGAAATATGAAGAAACACAATCCACTCATTTCTGAGGACCTGAACAATGGCAAGGACAGCAATACCTCTAGGCTTATAATCTCCTATCCATCGTATGAAGGAGAAAAGCACTAAAAGCTCATACACTCCCCTCCAGAAAAGTTAAATTCAACATAATTTCTAGACCCCTTTACCACCTAGAATGATTGCAGATCTCACCACAGCTAAAGTTCTGAAAAAGAATCAATCTCATTCTTCAACCAAGTGTTGCAGTGTAATAAAATTAGCCATGTAACTAGTTGACCAACTTTCTTCCATCTGTAACAATTTCTTATTAAGGATTATTCATGATTATAAAAGTTATATTTTTTGAATGTGCTTTCCCATTGTTTCATGCAGTCTGTCCTAACCTTCACCATGCCTCATGCAAAAGATCTATGGCTTCCAAATAATTTCAACCATTCCACCAAAATCGCCAATAATTACATAGTTGCATAGTCATGGATCAAAGGAAATGGCCGTTGATCCCTAATAAACTACCAAGGTTTTACACATCCACTTCTTCCAGGACCATTATTTCAAAGCCTTTTATACTGTCGAACTCAAAGATTTCAAGACCATAAATCTGGTTGAAAGCTGATGTAAACCAATACAAAGCTGCTCTCAAGGAAAATATAACATATAAAATATGAGATCCATTATCTGGCATATGTTACACTTGGAGCAATCACTATCTACCACCTTTTCTATCATCTAAAGCTCTATTATATTTGTCATGCAATCAACTGCTTCACGGGAGCTGCTCGTAATCAGGGGCAGCTTATATTTAGTATATTCACCAAAACTTCAATATCCATAATTCAAAAGAATTATTTCGCCCATTGCAATAGGTTTCAAATAATCAGGCAGTAATGCTTTGTTCCCACATCTACATAATCTGCAGCCCCTCCTCCACTTAAAACAATACATTTGACACTATGTGGAAGGGATAGTTCTAGCCTTGTAGGCATGTGCATGATGATAATTTTTTTCATCAGTTCCAACTTCCGAAGAATTTTTCCAGCGAATGTACCCATGTCTGGAGGTACATAACCACAAAATAATCACTAAATGAAAAGAGGAATAGATTGCATTGTATTATTCTGATACATCATTTTCTACTTAGCTGGATCAAAAAGGGTAGAATGGCATGGAGTGAATACTTATACATGAAAATCAATCAATTTGGCATGAAATGGAATCATTGGTCAAGTTAAGGAAATTATTTCACAGGAGCAAGATTTCCTTCAAATATATCTAATGCAGAAAAAAAAATTTAATTATTATTATTATTAGTTGTTTTTGAGTTTACCTTTTACCTCAAGAATAGGAGGTGCACAGGGATAATTAGGTGGGCATATTTTGTGCACGAATTGATATCTTATCAATTGGTTGGTTAGTTTAGGAATGTAAATACTAATAAGGTTAAATATAAGGGGAGTTTTATCTTTTCAACAGTAGGAAGCTTTGGATAAAATGTGGGAAGCAAATCTTTTTGGTATGTGAGGTTAAGAGATAGGGATGAGAGAGAAAATCGATAAAAATAAAAAAGTGTTTTCCTTCTACTTTTTTTAAGTCTATTAAAGGAGATCTCCCTTCATTGTAAATCAATGAATGAGTTTAATAGAATTTGGTCTCGTGAAGAGCTTGTTTTTGGGGTGGATTTCCTTGTAGACCTTGAGAGAGGGTATATTCTCTCAACTTTTTTTTTTATTGCTATTTTTTCTGGTTTTATTTTCTCCGTGCATCAATTGGTATAAGAGAAAGTTAGATCTGAGCAAGTTAGATCTACAGAGAAGTAAGAGCCAGAGATCCGGTTTGTTTTACAATGCCACCAAAAGCTAATCAAGCTCATCATGTTGCTTCTAATCAAGCTAATCATGCTCCTGCTTTGGATGATCGTTGGGGACAAGCTATAAAATTTTTAACTAAAGCCCTAGAGGATGTTCGAACTGAGATGAAACAGGGGATGCAACAATTGGATCAGGAGATGAATCAGGAGATGCAACGATTGGATCAGAGGTTGCTGCGATTGGATTCAAACTAAGATGAAAGAGGGGATGCAACGATTACGATTGGATCAGGAGATGAATCAGCGGATGCAACGATTGGATCAGAGGTTGTTGCGGTTGAAGAACAATATTCCTCGTGAAGAACAAAGGATGCAACAGTTGGATCAGAGGTTGCAGCGGCTGGAGAACAATCTTCCTCATTTAGAAGGTACTCACAACTACATTAATTTTGCATTAGTAACTCCAAGACAAACACATGGTGCTGATTTTGAGCGTAACGAAGATTAAAGGCCAGATTCCGCGTTCTGTAGACCGACCACGAGACTTTAGTATTAAAATTGATCTCCCCAAATTTCATGATCAAGGGTATTCATTGATTGCAAATGGTGCTTCTTTGGAGCTGGACCCATTCCTAATTAGGAATAATTAGCCCAAACTCATATCCAACAATTACTCCAATTACTCTTAGAACACAGTCGTAGGCAAAGAGTCTTACATCAGTCGTGAGGAAATTGAAGAAAAAGTACCGAGGCTCATGGTGGGACTTCATCACCAACTTTTGAGAAGGCCCCTAAAATATTTGAATCAAGCTTGAGGTCAAGCATGCCAACCCCGGGAGAATGATGTAGAAAGAAAATAATCATTTTATTATTATTAGTTGTTTTTTAATTTATCTTTTAACTCAAGAATAGGAGGTGCGCAGGGATAAATAGGCGGGCATATTTTGTGCGTGAATTGATATCTTATCAATTGGTTGGTTAGTTTAGGAATGTGAATAGGATAAGGTTAAATCTAAGAGAAGTTTTTATCTTTTCAACAATAGGAAGCTTGGGATAAAACGTGGGAAGCAAATCTTTTTGGTATGTGAGGTTAAAAGATAGGGATGAGAGAGAAAAAGAAGCAAATATTTTTAATACGTGAGGTTAAGAGATAGGGATGAGAGAGAAAGTAGATAAAAATAGGAAAGTGTCTATTCTTTTTTTTTTTTTTGAAATCTATTTAAGGGAGGAGATCTCCATTCATTGTAAATCAGTGAATGAGTTGAATAGAATTTGGTCTCGTAAAGAGATTGTTTTTGGGGTGGATTCCCTTGCGTATATTCTCTCAACCTTTTTTTTTTATTGTTATTTTTTCTGGTTTTAAAGAAAGGTTGAGAGAATATACTAATTGATGCAGGGAGAAAATAAAACCAGAAATAATAAAACAAAAAAAAGTATTTTTTCTGGTTTTAAAGAAAGGTTGAGAGAATATACCAATTGATGCAGGGCAGGGAGAAAATAAAACCAGAAAAAATAACAATAAAAAAAAAAGATTGAGAAAATATACCCTTTCCTAAGGTCTGAGAGGGAATCCACCCCAAAAACAATCTCTTTACGAGACCAAATTCTATTCAACTCATTCACTGATTTATAATGAAGGGAGATCTCCCTTAAATAGACTAAAAAATAGAAAAAAAAAGATAAACACTTTCCTATTTTTATCTGTTTTCTTTCTCATCCCCATCTTTTCTCTCTCATCCCTATCTCTTAACCTCACATACTAAAAAGATCTATTTTCTCTCTCATCCCTATCTTTTCTCTCTCATCCCTATCTCTGAACCTCACATACCAAAAAGATTTGCTTCCCACGTTTTATCCAAAGCTTCCTATTGTTGAAAAGATAAAACTCCCCTTAGATTTAACCTTATCCTATTTACATTCCTAAACTAACCAACCAATTGATAAGATATCAATTCACGAACAAAATTTGCCCACCTAACTATCCCTGCGCACTTCCTATTCTTAAGTTAAAAGATAAAATAAAAAACAATTAATAATAATAAAATTAAATTTTTTTTTTCTTGCATCATTCGCCCAGGGTTGGGAAAAGCCCGACCTCGAGCTTGATTCAAATATTTTAGGGGCCTTCTCCAAAGTTGGTGATAAAATCCCACCATGAGCCTCGGTACTTTTTCTTCAATTTCCTCAAGACTGATGAAAGACTCTTTACCTGCACCTGTGTTCCAAGAGTAATTGTTGAATACGAGTTTGGTCTGATTATTCCTAACTAAGAATGGGTCCAGCTCCAAAAAGCGCCATTTGCAATCGATGAACACCCTTGACCATGATATTTGGGGAGATCAATTTTAATACTAAAATCTCGTGGTCGCTCTATAGAACGCACTATAGAACACAGATTTGACCTGTAATCTTCGTTACGCTCAAAATCAGCACCCTGGGTTTATCGTGGAGTTATTGATGTAAGATCAATGTAGTTGTGAGTACCTTCTAAACAAGGAAGATTATTCTCCAACCGCTGCAACCTCTGATCCAATCGTTGCATCCCCTGCTCTTCACGAGGAATATTATTCTCCAACCGCAGTAACCTCTGATCCAATCATTGCATCCCCTGATTCATCTGATTCATCTCCTGATCCAATCGGTGCATCCCCTGTTTCATCTCAATTCGAACATGCTCTAGGGCTTTAGTCAAAATTTTGATAGCTTGTCCCCAACGATCATCCATAGCAAGAGCAGGATTAGCTTCATTAGAAGCAGCAGGATTAGCTTGATTAGCTTTTGGTGGCATTGTAAAACAAACCGGATCTCTGGCTCTTACTTCTCTACAGATCTAACTTGCTCTAATACCAATTGATGCACGGAAAAAATAACACAGGAATAACAACAATAAAAATAACTTGCTTTGATATCAATTGCTACACAGATAAAATAACACGGGAATAATAACAATAAAAAAAGAAAGGTTAAGAGAATTTACCAATTGATACAGGGAGAAAATAAAACAAAAAAAAAGTTGACAGAATATACCCTCTCTCAAGGTCGGTAAGAGAATCCACCCCAAAAACAATCTCTTAACGACACGAATTCTATTGATTTACCATGAAGGGAGATCTCCCTTAAATAGACTTAAGAATTTTAAGAAAAAACACAAGATAAACACTTTTCCTATTTTTATCTATTTTCTCTCTCATCCCTATCTCTTATTCTCACACGTACCAAAAAGATTTGCTTTATCCTCACACGTACCAAAAAGATTTGCTTCCCACGTTTTATCCAAAAGCTTCGTATTGTTGAAAAGATAAAACTCCCCTTAGATTTAACCTTATCCAATTTACATTCCTAAACTAACCAACAAATTGATAAGATATCAATTCACACATATGCCCATCTAGAACATCCTATTCTTGAGATAAAAGATAAACTCAAAAACAACTAATGATAATAAAAATTATTTATTTATTTTTTTTCTGCATCCAGTTGATGCAAAATCCAAGTGCACTAAATATACAATCCAGAATTCCCGTCCTATAAAGATAGTATCAACAAATTACACAGAATAACTCATGGGAAAGAAGCATAACTAGCAGTGATTACTCTCAACTTAGGCTACAATACAGGAAAATCAATCAATATTATTAAACATCAAGTAAAACCTAAATGGAAAAGGAACAAATGTCATCTGATCTGTGAAAGAGAACTCATAGGGATCTAACCTCTTACACGAATGTCAACAAATTAAAAAACAAAAATGGAAAGAGAAATCACGTAACAAAAGGCCTGTCACCAGTACATAGTCATATTTTCTCCAGGAACCTAAAATTCAAACGATCAATTAAAAGAGGGAAAAGGGAGGGAGAACGTATGAATCATAATTAAAAATAAAAATATGCAGAATTCAACAGCGGATCGAGATTTGGAAGAAGTGAAAGACAAGGTAATTAGGGTTTGGAAAGCCACCTTCTGGAATTCATTGTTGAGTTCTGTGGTTGCTTTGTTCTGGTGTATCAGTCCCTACATTTTTAGAAGCAGAAGACGATATTTTTAACTAATTTTCTTAAGATTTGCGCCGACACTATTCCGTATACATACTTTTCGCTCAATTAAAATTGCAAAAAGTTTATATAAGTTTTTTTTTTTTGTTTTTTTTTGTTGGGGTTCCCTGGGTAGGATTCAATATGCACCTAAGAAAATCTATCTGAAAATGTTGTTTTAATGTTGAAAGATCCTCTAATTGATCTTCTCCATATCAAACCTATGAATTAAAAAATAATAATAATAATAATTTGAGTCCCATAAATAATACATCTTACAACATATTATCTATATTGTCTATTTTCAATATTTCCTTATTTTTTATAAATATACTTGATTTAACTATTTTTGGATTTTAAAATTTTATAATTTGATATGAATATAGATTTTCAAATATTTATAATAATTTTTTACGCCAAAATTACTTGATAAATTTTGGATGCATGCCTTAATTGGATTCTTTAAGGTTAAACCTTGTAGAAACCACACCCATTCAAAATTTTGTGGCTATGCTAAATTGAGTGTAGAATCATTACTTGCAAACACGTGTATTTCATACACATACCTAGGAAGAAAAATTGCAAACACAAACCTTAGTCCTACTAAAAAGGATTTTGTCCCCCACAATAGACAAAATAGGTCCGTTACGATTTATCGTAAAAATTGATCTCCATAGATTTATTATATCTGTAGCGGTATCGCAACGAACATAGTAGATCCGTAACATCTTTTCTAATAGGAAATATGAGACAAAAAGCTATAAATTTTATTATTGGAAAAGGTTTATACGAGGCACTGCTACTTGCAGAAATAAAATTGCAGTAATTTACCGTTTGGTTTGAATAAATCTTATAAATTTGACATGACCTAATTAATGTGTTTAATTTTCACATTAGATCCGCGGAGGTTGTAGCACCATTGATGAATCAAGTACGTAACGAGGCAAAATGGGCATGATTAAAAAAAATACTAAAAAAGATAATGAGTGTAAAAAAGTGAAATTTTGGTATATTTGTACTATCCAAAACTTTGAGGGATATATTATGAGTAATGATCCTATGAGACCCTCCCACACCATGTGTGTAGGACCTCAAAGGATCACCATTAAATTTAGCACAGATCTTTAAAAAAGTCAAGTCCCACACTCATGTGATAACTTTTTTAGATATATGTGTCATATTTAATGGTGATCATTTGAGGTCCTACACACATAAATATGGGAGGGTCTCATAGGATCATTACTTATATATTATAAGGAACAAGTTTATATAGAGCTGAAGCTTTAAACAATCAAATTAGAGAGTACCTCAAAAATTCCACTAGAAGAGGTCATTTTAATGCTCAAATATCCTCAAATTGATGATCTCAACATCAAGACGTATGGACATGAGAATAAGATGGATTTCAAGTTTTGGAAACAGTGCATCTTCTAATATATTTTTGGAACAATTTTCAAGATTTTCATGCTTTCATAGATCTACTTGATCTACACTGTTTTTTAAGCGTTAAATTTTATAATTAGAAATGAAAATATATTTAAGGCTATCACAAAGATTTTCAGTATTAAAACTACATTTTTCGGCACTATTTGAAGGTGCGCTCTACTTTGATAGTTTAGAGCCTCAGCTCTATTCCAACCGCACCCATCTTATAATTTCCCTAAAAACTGTGTCAAAACTATTCTAGTAAGGGTGCAGTTGGCATACGGATGCATCCGTAGGTGTAGAGGCCAGGTGCACCTTCAAATTTTATCATGGTATATAATTTTGATGTAAAATATTTTTAAGATTATCTCAAAATCTATTTTTATACCTAATTATGAAATTTTAAATTTCACAAAAGGTCAAAATCAAGTAGATCTATAAACATGTGAAAATCTTGAAAATGGACATTGTAGAAAATATGCTGTAAAATGCACTACTTTTTAGACTTAAAATCTTTTTATTTTTCATGGGCATACATCTCGATGTCGAGATGATCAATCAAAGAGTTTTTCAACATTAAAACTACCTTTTCCAATGGATTATTGAGGTGTATCCGTAGTTCTACATTATAAGGTTGCATCCTTATATAAACTTTTTCCTTCTATTAAACTCAAACAGACTATACAAAAGTATTATTATTTCTATTTCTTTTTTTCACAAGAGTAATATTACTTCTATGATAAAGTTTACATGTGCACTCCACTCGCGGGTCTAGTTGAACCAAGGATGTAATTGTTGAACCCTTTATTAATTCTAATTAAGTGGCTGTTAACTTCAAGAATAGGGGTTCTTGATCTATTTTGAATTTTGTTAATCTTGTCAAAACCATCGCGGTTGAAGCAAAAAAGAAAAAAAAAGAGGCATAAAAAGCACCATAGGGCATGCAAGCTGTGAAGAAAACTGCAGTGCACTAGTGCGCAAAGAAAATATAGTGTGTGCTAGCTATGAAGAAAACTTTGAAGAAAGCGTGATAGCTCACTGGTCTCGCTAGCTCCATGGCTTTGAAAATATATCAGGACTCAAGTGACTCACCAAAGCGACGACACATTGAAAGCACTTTCAAGTGTCAGTAGCGGGACGTTTTGTCAACCGAGGAAGGTTTGTGGTGACAACACCTAGAGATATCAGAAGTGAGAAAGCTGACATGAGTAATGTTATTTATTGGAACAATTTAAAAGATTGGAAAAGTTTATATAAGGTTGCAACCTTAAAATGTAGAATTACAAATGCATCTCAAAAATCCATTGGAAAATGTTGTTTTAATGTTGAAGAACCTTATAATTAATTATCTCAACATCAAGATGTATGAATGTGAAAAAAAAAAAAAAGGTTTTGACTCCTAGAAATAGTGCATCTTGCAACACATTATCTAGACCGTCCATTTTCAAGATTTTCATATGTTTATAGATCTACTTGATTTTAACTATTCTTAGAGTTTAAAATTTTATAGTTGGATGCGAAAATAGATTTTGAGATAATCTTAAGAATTTTTTACACCAAAATTACATGTTATGATCAAATTTGGAGGTGCACCTTAATTGGATTGTTTAAGGTTGCAACCTTATAGAAACCACACCCTTCAAAGACCGTGTTGTTTGTGCTCACTAGGGCTTCTTTTGAAATTTGATAGCATGCCTTGCATCCATCTTGTGTTAATTGTTTTGTTTTGTTTTGTGAAAACTCTCAACAGCCTGTCCAATAGCATCCTTCTAAGGATAATATATCTTTCCTACATCTTGAGAAAATTCTTAATCATGTTTGAAAGCTAATGCAGATTATCAAATGTTTGAAGGAACTAGCTCGCATCACTTGGGCTAATGCACAATGGTCATATTAAGAGATCAAGTAGAAAAATTTTTTTTGAAAATTTTAATCTAACTGAAGATAATTTTTTCATTTGATTAATTTTAGTTAGTGTGGTTTGCATAAGGTTGCAAACTTGCAATATTAAACAATCCAATTAGGGCGCACTTCTGAATTTTATTATAAATGTAATTTTGATATCAAAAAAATTCTTAGGATGGCTTGAGAGTCTATTTTCATCTCTAATTATAAAATTTTAAACTCTAAAAATGGTTCAAGTAGATCCATAGACACATGAAAATCTTGAAAATAGATGGTCTAAATAATGTGTTGCAAGATACACTATTCCGTGGGCTTGAAATCGTTTTTTCTTTTCATATTCATACATCTTAATGTCGAAGTGATCAATTAGAGGGTTTTCCAACATCCAAACAACCTTTTATGATGGATTTTTGAGGTGCACCTTTAATTCTACATTTTAAGGTGGTAGCCTTGATTTTTTTTTTCTTTTATTTTTTTACTTTTTAAATTCTGTCAAATATTTTAACATTTTTGTTAACTTACTTTTTGGGTAAGAGTAAGGAGCATGTAAAAGCTCCAAGTCATTTTTTTTTATACTGGCTCTATTTCTTCTCCATATTAGATTGCTTTTTCAAATTTGGGATTAAGATAAAACTTAAAAGAGTTTTTCAGCAAGAAATGACATGATTATTTTTGGCATCTTGATCATTGGATTAGGATAAAGAATTTAGAGAGAGCCAGAGTGAGAGATTCTAGAAAATTTTAAAAGAAAAATAAAAGTGGTGATAAATATGGAAGATACATGGCTAGGATTTTCTTTTGATATGTGGCTGGCTTGATGAGCATAATTGAATGTGGTAATTTTTACCTTTTTTCATTTAGAGTGATGGAAACAATCTTGTCACTTGTGAAGCGATATAAAGATAAGAGTTATTTAATCATACATAGTGATATCACTATGTGTTTTCTTATTTTAGAAAAAGTATAGAATGAGACCATTTACTTTTGGTACAATGTGAAACATTAATCTTGACCATTGGATGTAAAATTGGGTGGCTGCAATTATTATATTATCCAAGCTCAAACTTCAAAAGAAATTTTTTCCAACTTTATGATACATCCAAGCTATTAAACTTCACATCAGATGGTTGTAAGTAATTGTGACCACCTTCTATCAAAAGTAAATGGTATCATGGTATACAATCCCTTATATATAAAACAAAATACATACCGTTTTCCGAAAGTTTTCCTACTTCCATGGTAGTACACGATCCATATAACAAAATATATAATGTGTCCCATAATTTTTCCTACTTACGGGGGAGTACATGATCCACCCATTCCCTAGGGCAAAACTTACACGTGAGGAATATTTTGTCGATCTCAAATTTTGGGTAAGATTGCATTGGAGCCATCAAATTTTTAGAGGGAATGTGAAGTGAGCACTTTGCCCGAGGGAACAAATGTATGGTATGCTCTCAAGGGAGCATAATACACACGCTCCTAATGTTTTCTTATAAGTAACAACTATACAAATTTGTCAACCCCTATCGACCCTTTATCCTGAAGTGCAAAGCACCTTGAACGATTGTCGACACTACCACCCATGCTAGTATCCATATAACACGGGTGCTAGCTTAGAATGTGTTTTCTTTGCAAAGCTCGCACTACCCATCCCTTGGGAAAGCATGAGCTCTAATATCATCTCAACTCATTTTGTGATGATCTAGCACAAAACTTATTGGGAAATTAGCTAC